CAATATAGAGTCATTGCACATTGCTAAATATCAAGGTATATGACTCTATTTAGACAAATAGAACTATCTATTCTGTTCTCTTCTGATATGTTTCTGGAATCTTGGCTGATCCCTCCTGGATGAAAAATTGCTCATTTCCTTCCAGAGAATTATCTATCAATTTGTTTATTATTATATCAATTTATTTATTTCAGTGCAGAATATTTTATTTTAGAAAATCCAAGAGCAAGAGAGTTATATGCAAGCTGCCAAATTAAATCTAGTACCTTTTTCTGTTAGGATTAAAGAATCGTAGGGCTGGAAGGGACCTTTGAAGTCTTCTAGTCCAAGGTAATGACCTTATACCATCCTGGGCAAATGCCTGTCCAGTCCTTTTTTAAAAAAAACCTTCACTGATGGAACACCCACAACTCAGGAAGTCAAGCTGTTCCGCTGTTTAATTGACAGTCAGTTCCTCAGAATTATTGTTTGTTGCTGCTGTTGTTACGAACGGAAGAGTCTATTAATGACAAAGAAGACAGAGAGAAGGAGAGAGCGGTTATTATTTTATAAACCATAAGACAAATTATGGTTCCATGAAGTTAATCTCCTGCCTTTCTTTTTATAGAGTATAGTTTTATTAAGTGTCTTTTAAAAAAGAAATAACTCATAGTGATGTTTCTGAACCATTTTGTCTATTACCACAGAATAATTTATTTCTTCTATAAGGGTATAATGCAATATTGTAGGCATTGCTGAGTTAGAACTGCTTGCTAATTTTGCAGACAGATATACTTACTTGCAGATAGTTCTTGGTTAATAACTGGGACTGGAATTTCCATTGCTAAGCAAAATGCACTGTCATGTGACCACATAGCAACAGCAGTCTTGGCAATCCTAGTTGCTATCATTGATTAAATCCCACCTGTTCGTTAGGTGAGGAACCACCCAATCCAAGCCATTCCTGGCTTGGTCCCGCCCACCCCACGTTTCAGGAGGGCAACACATTAACTTCTTTTCAACTCCTCCCCCATCCGCCCCACCTCTGCCCTTCTGGCCACCCTGCACTCTGCCACCTCTGCTGCCCTGCACTCCAGTGCCTGCAGCTCCTTTCCAAATTACACACAGACTTTTTGTCAAGCTTTGGAGGGTTTGAAAGCTTCATGAGGCCACACATGATTTGTACCATGGCTCAGGAAGAAGGCTTACTACAGCCAGCAGTTGCCCGTGAAGGGCCAGGCTGGACACGCTTCATGAGCTTCTGGGGACAGCAGCCAGCAGGGCGGTAGAGTGCAGGATGGACCAAAGGACAAAGATGGGGGAGGAAGAGTGGAGGGAATTGAAGCACCCCTGTGATCCTAAGTGGAAGTGGATATCCAAGTGGTATTGCAACGGCCATAACTTCCTTTCATTCAGTACCACCATAACTTTAAATGGTTCCTGTATTTTTGAAATGTTTTTAAAATCCAGTATGTAGCCACTATGGCTAGTGACTACATACCTGATTTTAAAGTAGCGTGTAGCCATTAGAGGTGACATGATAGCAGTGTTTCAATGTCTAAGGGGTTACTGCAAAGAAGAAAGGGGTCAACTTATTTTCCAAAGCACCTGAAGGCAGGACAAGAAGCAATCGATGGAAATTAATCAAGGAGTGAATCAGCCTAGAACTAAGGAGAACAGTCAATCCCTGGAACAGCTTGCCTCCAGAAGTTGTGGATGCTCCAACACTGGTGGCTTTTAAGAAGAGATTAGACAATCATTTGTCTGACATGTTATGGGGTCTTCTGCTTGAGCAGGGTATTGGACTAGAACAGTGGTCGCCAACCAGTGGGCCGGGGACCACTGGTGGTCCACAAGAAAATTTTGGTGGTCCGCAGAGAATTGTCACCCCCAAAGCACCCCCCAAAGCAATTAATCCAGGCTGTGGGGTAACAGAAGGCTTGCATCGCTTACATTGCGAACAACATGAGGTAGTGAGGGGACAGGGGAAAGGGCAGAGGGGGGAACTTGCCCCACTTGCCCCATGCGCCTGGCCTGGCCAGTGGGCTGCTTCTTTCCACTTCTTTCTTTTTCTGCTTTTGGCTGCACACAAGGAAAGCAGCAAAAGTCTTTCTTTCTCTCCCCCCAAACTCTGCAGAAATGAGTCTTTGGGACCCTGCAAGGCATCTTGCTCCAAGAGACTGCGCTGGCATGACAAGTCTCACAAAGACTCATTTCTGATGGAGTTTGGGGGAGAGAAAGAAAGACTTCTGCTGCTGCTTTCCTTGCATGAAGCCAAAAGTCTCTCTCTCTCCCTCTCTCTCTCTCTCTCTCTCTCTCTCCCTGCAATCCCAAATAAAGAATGATCAATCGGTAGGAAAACAGGATGGGGGATTTTCCTGCAGGCTTTTGGGGGGATTTTCCCAGGGTCTCTTGTCCATAGGATTTAAAATTATGAGTTTAGTGGTCTCTAAGGTCCAAAAGGTTGGTGACCCCTGGACTAGAAGACCTCTAAGGTCCCTGCTAATTCTGTTATTCTGCCACCCACATAGAGCACATATCAAATGTCACAGGGTTGGAGTAGTGTCCTTGGCATTTACTACCAACGATACAGGATCCCCCGAGTTGGAAATAAAAAGAAAGTCTAGGGCTTGCCAGATCTAGGCTGCAAAAATCTAGGTGCCCATGAAATGGCAACAAAGAGATAAATAAAATATTATTTTTTTCTTGTCATCCCATGGTCTGCAGCACAATCTGGTAGCCTTGGGTGGCCATTTTCCACCTGACAAGAGATACTGCTGACAAGATTTCCTAAGGAAACTAAATGAATAAAAAGAACCAATCTTCTCAACTCCATTTATAGTTTATCTTACTTCAAATATTTTATCTTAATCTTCTTTTATAATCTAAATTAGACATAAAGCAAACAAAAAAGGGATAGGGGATGAGAAGGAAAAGCTCTCAACATTAAAAATCCTTGTAAAAGCCAGTTCTGAAATGGAGCCTATCAAAGCTTTTTGCTGAGCCAACGAAAGTGGTCTTGTTTCCCGTCTTTTTCCTCACCTGGAGCCTTTTCCAGCTTGCTCCATTACTCTGTTTTTAACGATGATTTTCACCTATTAGAAGTAGCAAATAAATGATAATCATCTTGCTTTACTTTCTTATTTCTCAATATAAAGTATAGGTAGCCCTCAACTTATGACTAGTTGTTTAGTGACTGTTTGAAGTTACGATGGGCCTCCCCAGAGCTATTTAACCACCTGGTTTTGATGTTTCAATCCCCTTTCCCATCTGCAGTCTTGTAATTGCATTTTGGGCACTTGGCAATCAGCCCACATTTACAGCTGTTTGCAGTATCCCATGGTGTCTGGCGTGAAAAATCACATCTACATGTGGTTCCAGTTTATTGCTGATTATGCCTATGCATAGGAATCTTCTCAACTAACAATTAGCACCTGGTTAGGTTGGACTTAGTTCACTTGCGGCTATGTAGGGATTGTGGGCTGATCCCTCTTGACTCTGCCCCCAGGTTCTGGAATGGCTTTTCCCACATCTCGTCACATTTTATGTGAACTTGCCTTTACTTCCAATTTCTGGCAACAAAAGCCCATCAGCTAAATGAGTTTGTTTCACAGCCACTGCAAGAAAGATTGTAAAATCAGGTATGGTACAACGATGCCCATTTTACTACCACCATTTACAACCATAATACAGGCTCAATTATAGTCATAAATTGAGGACTATCTGTGCATTACTCACTGGCCCCAAATCCAGTTAATGATAGTGGATCCCTCTAAATATTTTAGCATCAATTTTGGAGGAGGGAATAGGATCTTGGATTACTCTGCAAATTTGAATGCCACTCAGTAGACTTTATAATTTTTACAATTTTGACGGAGGTGGTATTCAGCAGGTTCTGACCAATTCTGGAGAACCGATAGCGGAAATTTTGAGTAGTTCAGAGAACCAGCAAATACCACCTCTGACTGGCCCCACCCCCATCTATTCTCTGCCTCCTGAGTCGCAGCTGATCAGCTGGGTCTTCTTTTGTTGCCCTGCACAGACCAACGGAGCTGGAAAGCAGGTTAGTGGGGTGAGGATTTTGTAGTAACCTTCGCCCAGGAGTGGGGAGGGAATGGAGATTTTACAGTATCCTTCCGCTGCCATGCCCACCAAGCCACACCTACAGAGCCGGCAGTAAAAAAAAATTGAATCCCATCATTGAATTTTGGCATATAGAGGTTGGAAGTTATCCAGCAAATCTTAGAAAATAAGAAAACAAGGAACATAAATGCAAAATCCATAGCTGGGCAGTATTTATTATGGTAAAATCAAACACTACAAGAAGATGTGCAATATTGTAAGTCCTTCATACCTCTTCATTAAGCACCACGTAGATTGGAAAAGAAGAAGAAAAATGTGGTCACCAAATTTGAAATTTAGACTTAGACCGAAGGTTGAGGTTTTAATGAGAAAAGTGCTATGCTTTTAGCACTGCATTTTTAATATGAATAATGCAACAATATACAGTGCTTTTACAGCAAGACTGAGCTGTTCTTTTTCCTAGTATCCTTATTTTCTATGTAGAAAATACTGGCTCTAACATTTAGACAAGTTTGAATGCAGGTTGAAGAGACTCACCAGATTAAAAAGCAGTTTTTTGCAGAATATTTTATATTTTTATTTATATTTTATGCAGACTTGTTATGTATTGTTAGTTAGATATAAGTTTTAATAGTTATTTCAAATATTGTGAACATTCATACTATATTTTATAGTAATTAATATGTTATATTTTGATTTTATAATTTGATTGTTATATTAATTTTTATATATATTTTATTGTTTTGTATTGTGCCTTATATGTGCATATAAAATTACTACTACAGTTACAGGTGGTCCTCGATTTACAACAGTTCATTTAATGACCAAAGTTACAAGGACACCGATAAAAGTGACTTATGACCATTTTTCACACGTATGCCCATTGAGTAGCCCATGGTCACGTGATTTATATTCAGATGCTTGACAACTGATGATAGTTGCAGGGTCCTGGTGTCACATGATCACTTTTTGCAACCTTTTGACAAGCAAAGTCAATGGGGAAACCAGATTCATCTAACAACCTTGTTACTAATTTAACAGTGATTCAGTTAACACACGTGGCAAGAAAAATCATAAAATGGGGCAAAATTCACTCAACAAATTTGTCAATTAGAAACATAAATTTTGACTCAATTGTGGTCGTAAGTTGAGAAATATCTGTATAACTCTTAAAAACTAAATTCCACGTGGCAATGAGGCTTTCAACAGCCTTCCTTGACAACATGTTGGGAAACGCCCAGCCAGGGAAAGGAGGAGAGGTCTAACAGGAAATTAGCCTTGAATCATTGCAGAACTATAATAGATCACTCACTGCCCCACTAAGCAACTTGGATCCTTATCCATGTTCCCAAGGGAAGACAAGCCATCTGGGATTCCTGTATAAAGAGAATGGGCAGAGTCTGGAGCAAGATAGCAAGGCTCAAGAGCCATACACAGTGCATAATTGAACTTACAAGCATGAATACATTCAAAGGTTATGATTTTTGGGAGGATATATGTATATCATCTTACTTCTCTTGTGCTATTATGACATTAAAAAAACACTGTTAGTTTTGAGAGCAACTAATATATTGTGTGAAACAACAAACACCTTGCCCATTCTTATATACATCTGAGTGGCCTCCCATCTGCTACTTGAGACAGAATTACTTTCAGTTGGAAATCTTTCCACATAAAAGCATATATTGATGGTTAGGCCTGCCTGATGAAGAGAGCCTCATTATCTGATGACTTAAAAATCTTGCCCACACTCCTTATCCACCCAACGGTTCTGCCTGGGCTCAAAAAATAAATAAGAGACTTACCCAGCAGATAGAACTAAAGATCCTCAAACATTTGTTCCAGGGTTTTCAGCAACTAAAAGAAAGGACAGCATAGAAATCCGATTTGGTCTTGTGTGGACCCATTTAGCCCCAGGCCCCCCGCTGCTCAATTTGTAAATATTTCTTACAAGATTGTTCTAAAGGTTACATTTAAATTACATGTATGAGTAAGTTAAGCATACAGTACAGATCTTGTCAGTATTAGGAATAAATGGAGCTAGAGGCAAATAATTCAAGTACTTTTCAAGTACAATGTAAGTTCTTGAAAAAAAAACTTTGATGGTTTGATGGTTTTCAATTGATCATACAGCTTTTTAATACTAAACAAATTTATCAGTTTAAAAAATTGAACACCAGTGATATGCCTGAGGGCACTAAGCAAAGACTCCATCCAGGACTTGATACGAAGGATTGCAGCTTTTCCTGGAGAGGTGAACAGATGCAAACTCACCTTTTATTATCATACTACGCTCTGGTTTTATATTTTTTGTTATCATTGGCAGCCTAATTGCATTAAAATGTCAGTCATGCCACTCGATTTCTATTTTCATATTCCTCCCAGCTTCACTAATGGCCAATTCACTTAATGAGTCAGAAGCTTTCTTGTAATTAGTAGTGTCTATGCACAGTGGCAGCTCGCAGTGCTTGCTTCTGTTCAGTAATTCATGACCAACTTGAAAATTATCTAAAGGATTGCTAACTGCTTTTTGTCCTACATGGAAAGAAAATTAAGCTAGCACATTTCAGTACTTGGGTTGGCAGGGTACCAGTGTGTTGTTGACTCTGAGCCTGCTGCTTGTTTAACTGCTGTTTTCACATTATTTTTAGTAGGTACACATTCTGAAGTCCTCTGCAGATGATTGAGTTCAATGGTTAAATTTATGAATACTGAGGAAACCTCTAAGAGATTCACTTACAGCAATTTCATGGTGATCAGTGAGATCTGGGCAAAGCAGTGTTGACTTTTCTATAGCTCTTAGTTGTAGAGAAGCTTTCACCACAAGATGTCTGTGGTCTTGTTAAAACAAATATTGCCTTTTCTGCAGTATGAATTGTCAAAAAAGAGAGAAAAGCCCGATGGTTTAATGACTGATTTCAAGCCAGATTCAAGGAAACCTTGTTTTAGCAGCAAATGACAGACATTTAAAAGTTGTGCGGTATCATGGTATCTGTAGAGATTTCATGTTCTTGTCTTGATTATTCCCTAGTGAATTCTGTTAAATGCCTGCTGCCACTGGATAATAAAGAGACAACTCATCATAACCTTGATCCCAGCTTATTGTACATGTGCTTTGCAAGAAACCATTTGTATAAATCCAGAATACAGTGTTTATAGGTAAAAATGCCATGTAAATCTAAATGCTGTCACTAATTTGCTGAATTAAACCATACATCTTCCCTGGATATGGATTGTGACAGTGGAAAATATTACTGTGGTGAGGCACATATCTGATTGAAAAGTTCTTGCTCATGTAGGAAACTATTAACATACCTGAAAATCTGAATCAACATGTTGTGCAAATATATCAACTTTGCTGTTGCAAACTAAATCGGTACGTGCAAGACAGACCAAGATATTAAATTACTTTTACAAGGTTTAAATTACTTTTACATATAGCTCTAGAGCATTTTCTTTTTTATACTTTCTAATGCAATTTCTGTTTATGGGCTTAAGATTCTGTGCATCCATCTGTTCATCCATCAGCATAACCATTCTCTGAATAAATTTTATTATGGTGGGATATGCCATGAGTTGCAGGGGAAAGGGGTGGGGGGACAGTGTACCTCTGTGAGAAAGGCAGTCAGGTAGTCCACCCCTTCCTTCCTCCTTCCTGCTCATTTGGTGTGGGCTGCACCATGCTTTCTAATGCACACATAGAAGTACCCAAGGATTCAAACTTGAGGGAGAGTCTAATCAGACAGTAACACAGAGCCATAAGCAATAACAGTTACCTTCTATAATCAATAAAGGCATTGGCGAGATAGGAGATGCTGTTGAGGATCTGTACTTGTGTTTGTAAGTACTTAGATCTACATGGAAGCAAATAGGCCCAGTTTAGCTCCAATAAGATGGAGTGACTGTGCGGAAGCCTTCTGACGCCAGAGAAACTCCATCTTTAATTCTAGGTGACTTAATTCTAGATGTTTTTGTGCTTGAACAATAGGAGCTGTATAAGGAATTCAGGAAGGCTTGTTTTTCTCCCAAAAGTGATTAGGGGGTTTATAATAAACACTACTAAATATTTTTAAATACCCTGTAATATATTGCTTTGCAGATGCTATTTCATCAAACTGTATATTGTAAAAGTAATAATTTACTGACATGCATAATCAAATGTAAATAGTCAGATTGAGTCAAAGAAAAGGTTGAGGGCTGCATACTGACTGTGTGCTGTTTTTCTTCAAGGCAGCATCGTAGTGGTCACATCACCGAAATGAAGTCTATGCATGGCTGCATGCAATCCAACCACATATATTTTATGACACAGAAATTGTTGTCTAAAGCCAAATCACATAGAGCTAAGGAATTATTTTAAAAAATCTAGAGATAATATTTGCTGCATCAGTTTTACAACACTCCTAGTAGCGACGATGGAAAACCTCAGAGCACTCCATTCACCAAAGATGGGTTTTCCCCTTTTTCACAATGGAATTTATTCTTTAGAGACTTCCATTGGAGAATGCATTGAAAACTCAGTGAAAATGTAAAGAAGAATGAAAGCATAACCCTACATATCCAATTAAGCACAGCAAACAGTTCGGAGGATTAGAGTACAATTGATTTCCCATGCAGGGCAAAGTATGTCACATATCTGCCCAACCCAATAACATCTAAACCAATATGCCTTTGAATTCATCCCTCATAATATTCATACTATTTATGAATGCATCTGTATATTAGGTAATATAAGCAGCCCAGTTCTAATGTGGAAATCTCATAAATCCAACTACCATTATATCATGGAAGAACACCATGGAAATTAACTATCTCAGACCTCCATGAAGAAAGGAAACAAAAATTGGTATAATGAATACACAAGTATAATTGTGACTACACTAAGGTGAATATGAGTTGTCAGGACTGAGGGGGAAATGTTGATTTTCATGGGGCAAAACTAGTATGTCCCAGAAATTCATATATTCTGGATTTAACCGATTAGCTTATCTAGGCAGAGTGGGAGTGCTTGTATGTGCAAAGCCAGAGCCATATGGAACCACACTGCAGGCTTTCTTTTCTGCTTTGCTTAGACAAGCCAACAACCTGGTGTTCTGCACTGTGAGCAGTGCCAATATACTTGCACAGACAAAACTGGAACCCCTGTCAGCTTGCTTGTCACGACAGAATTCAAACAGCAGTCCAGCAATTCTTTCATCACATTTTCTTTTTCAATTCTGTAGATTCCTGTTCTCTTTTTATTATTGCTTCATTCCTTCCATTCAAGTTAGCTCTTTTGTGCTAGCACCATTGAATGTCATGGCAACATTTTGCCATAAAGTACACACCATGTTATGAATTTATGTTTAATGGTACACTTCCTGGCAAATGCCAAACACTTTCAGATACATATTAAGTGCTTATAATTGAAACAATCTGTTGATTTGAGTCTGCTTTAAATTTTTCTCCGTCCATAGTTACAGCAAAATATTTAGCATTATTATCATTTTCAGACCACCATTATCCTGAGAAGTTGTTTAATGCATCACATGACATACATTTACTATTTAGGATCAGACTAAGAAAAGAAGCCAGTTTTGTAAGTTTTCTTAAGATGGCTTTGTTCAGTATTGATTAGGTGGCGTTCAAAATGAAATAGACCCATCCTGTTTTGCTTAGAACTGTTTCAGCTATCTGAAAAATGGGAGTGGGAAAGGAAGACACATTACTGCATGATCGAATGGTCCATATGTATTTCAATTATGGGCAATGGTTTGTGAATCAGGGAGGCTCTTGATTATGAAGAAAAGAATGACAAGTCCTGTTTAAATGTCTGTCTGCACAAATCCTATTTGAAATTAGTCTCCATGTGATATTTAAGGTTTATAGTGTAACTATTAATACATAATCTGTACCCAAATTTTTAACATCTATACCTCATATGTACATTATTGGATTAAGGTGAGCAAAGTTCTGTGACCAAGGGCCACATGTATAAGGATGGGTGGGAATGCAACACACATT